GTATGCAGCACAGTGTTAGTTTTGTATGTAGGACGTTGTTAGTTAATTGTAAGACATTGTTTGTTTTATATGTTCGTCTTTTTCTGTTGTTTTCAGCCTAAGCCTCGCCTTCTAAGACGCCAAAAGTCGACCTCAGACATTGACACTAACGTAAATACGCCGGAACTCGAGGACTGTAAGTAGCAAAGTATCATCGCAGTAATGTCATCAGAAATATGTCCACATTTCTTTAATGAAATGGTTTCTGAGCGTCTAAGAAGAAATCCAGAAATGATTGCAAAGATTTTTAAACGCCATAGTTTTGAATATTTGCGATCAATTCATAAGATCTTTCGATAATTAGAAACGATGTTGAATTACAACAACAGCAGTTTGCACTCGTGAGAAATACTGGTAAAATGACGCTTTGACGGTGTAAATAAAGCAATGTTTAGATATTTATTCATATAAATTACCTGTGCCTTTTGGGTCATGATTTTTCTATTTTAGGTACCTTTTGTATTGAGTTTCTAGGTTGCCCAAATCGACAATGGTTCCCATTTGGATTGAAAACAAATATTTTTCAAGTACAGTAATTACATTGTTACGTCATTTGTCACATCATCAGTTTCCCGAGAAATTGTTACAAGTTAATTATGACACAGTAGTTGAATTCTAATTAAAACTGAGGAGTGAACATAACCCTCCCCCTACCGTCTTGTTTCTTAGGTATATAAATACTGGTGAGCCCGTGGGCCTATGGCCCACATTTACAGGGCCGTTATAATGCAAATTAAATTTCTTTAGCCAAGTATGATAATTAATAGGTCTAACTTATTTACGTTCTCTTATGTACATCGATACCAAATTTGAGGGCCGATTTCGGGGAATCCCCGTAAAAGTGTTCTCGCGAAATACCTGGGTTCCCTAAGGGATGGGGCGAAAATTTACCTTTGTGCAAACCTCCGGACCAAGACGATTCGTTTGGTACCACTTAGAAGTGGATGAGTCCAGCAGTTTAGAAGAGGTTACATCACACACACACATACACTGAATTTTATCATATAGAAGATAGCAATTTTTAAGTAGCGTGTTTCCAAGTAACTTACACTTCGTTGATCGCTGGAAACGTTTGGGAACGCTGGTTTGAGCGAAAGGAAAGTCTAACTAGCGTTATATGTCTTCAACTTACTGTGAACTTAGAACGTCATTTATTATACTTTGATATTAATGGATGATCTCAACTTGTTTTCATGTTCCTTGATCCGACAGACAATCCTGCATCGTAGCGTTAGGTTTAAGCAAGAGAGCTGATCCTAAATGTGGATCCCACTAAAGCTCCTGGTTCTAAATGTGCCTCACAATGTAACTCAGTGTACCCAGTTCTTAACGTGACTCACTGTGAAACTCAATGTAAAGATTCCGGTTCTCAACGTGACTCACGGTGTAAATTATTGTATTTTTAATTAAAAGTTAATAAACTATAACGCTGACGAGTTTTATATTTAGCTGTTGATTTTGGTCAGTCTGTAGAACATGACGTTAAAATTTCTTTCAGTGTTGAAACTTTCAAGCTGACAAATACTTTCAAAACATTTCGAAAGACCCTAATTTATTAAAGTTCTGTTGTAAAACCTAGGCAGAACACTGATATCTATGAATATTTATAAAATTACGAAAGAAAAAAAAATGCTTTTACACAATTCTCTGTTTGTACTTGAACCATATCAATTCCAAACCGTTCGGAAACAATTTTGTATTTCTTCTTTCGACAATATTCGGAGAGCAGCCAAAGGTGGGTATCAAATATTCAAGAAACTTCATTTTTCTCTTCTGCAAGCTGCCAGAGGTCGAATGGCAGCTTCTATTTCAGTCCCTCAAGTGGACCCAATTTATCAGCTTCTTAAGCAAGCGGGAGACCTCGGTACCACTAGGAGACCCGACAGATTTGAGAAAGATACTGGAGCGCCCTCTTCTGACCATGGTGGGGGGAGTGGGAGCTCACTGTTAACCCCACGATCCATAGGAATTCCAACTCCTTCTTCTTCCAACATGCTGTCTGTGACAACAGGATCCCACCACCCCTCTAGCTCAGGTTAGTTAGGCTGTGCGTATCATAGCTCACCTTCCTTCTAGGATATTCTCTGTTTCTGTAAGTTAACAACATTGTGTAGGTTAGCGCATTGCGTATTTAATTATATTCTTATTTGATTTCCTAACTACGTTTTGAAAATATTGTTTAACGACATTGTTATAAAATACGTGTCTGCTGATACACCAACTTCATTGATCATAAGTGTGTTTTGGTGTTTTAAGTTGACTGATATTTATAAAAGCAAACAAGTTATGAACTTATTTTAAACACTGACCCAAACCTAGATAGAATTTTAAAGTCTTTTTAACTAAAAACACGCCAAGCTAGTAACAGTTAGCTGCGTTTTTTTTCCTAAAGCGACTCTAGCAGGTTCACTTTCGCAAGATGATAAGTATGAGAGCATTGTAATTGTCGCCATACGTACAGTTTGTAGTCAGGCTTTTGGCATTAATAACTGACAAAGTTAAATCTTGATCAAAAGTTACGAATAATAGTCTTATTATTCATAAAGTTCCAGACGTGAAAACGTTTATCTTGATCAGAAGTTACCAATAACAATCTGGTTATTCATAAAGTTCCAGACTTTTAAAACTTTTATGTTAATCAGAAACAACCTGCAATAAAATAGATATCAAGATATTGGAGTATTTAAATTCATCTATAAATAAGACACGTGAAAATGTTGATATTTATATAGAACGATCAGTTTTTAGTGTTTAATTGAGTTCATAAAGATTGCCCTTGACCTGCTGGAGTAACTTCCGTTAGACGTTGTTGTATTGAAAGTTATTATTTTGTGTTGAGTGGATCGACGTTTCGAGCTGTGTGCTGGAGAGAGAGAGACCGAAACGCCAACCCACTCATAAAGCAAGCCAAGAGTAATAGATTAGGGACTCATGAAAAAACCACCAAGAACCTTGTACCTGAAAACAGGAGTAGTTAAGGAAATTTGTTACCGGTTTAGTTGTCATTAAATTAAATTATCCCTATCAGAAGTTGTTTGATGTTAGGTTTCGGTTGTGGATGGGGTTTAAAGTGAATGTCTAGACAATTTCTTCAACACTGGCTAAGATACAGAAATTGTACTTACTAAATACGGAAGAAAAAATTGCATAGCAGTCTAATATAATTACAATACATCGGTTTATAAATTATATATTTGTGAAGCAAATGGAGAAAGTTCAATGGATTGTTATAAAAAACCGATTTTTTATTTCCTCCTTTTATTTCTATTTTTGGTTAATTTTTTGAATTAGATGATTTTTTTTCAGTTGCATCTTTCGTAAGCCCCCTGCTGAAGTTCAGTAATGGTATCATTTCGAGTGTCTGTGGATTTAAAACCTTTTCTGATATCTCCCATGCACGCTTGCACTGTCAGAGCATGTTATTTTACCAGTTTTGTTCACTATTCACATTCTGCGACTTCTCCTTGACCAAAACCTCAGTAATGAAATTTTTTGTTTTTATTTCATTTTTTTTTCTTCATTTTTAGTTGTTGTTTGTGAGCGAAGCTTTAAGTTCTGTATATTACTTTTACTGCCACACAGGAAGACGGAGGCAGATTGCATCAGGTATCTCTTTTTTATGCTATTTTTTGTACAATAAGAATAACAAATGTGTCGCCAATTTTTCATTATTTTAAGTAACTGAATATATTATCTCAATATTCAAGAGAAAAGTATTCTTTCAGTTTCAGTGTATTACTTTGGACATGTCAATAATTGTCGTTTCATTGCATACAATTCTACAGTAGCTATATAACCTATCAAACAAAGAATGCATTCTAATGAGAAATACAAGCTCAAACGTAAATCGTAACACCTAGTAACACGGTTTAATCGTGTCCAGTCCAACTAGTAACACAGGTTAGTCGTGTCCAGTCCAACTAGTAACACAGGTTAGTCGTGTCCAGTCCAAATACTAACACAGGTTAGTCGTGTCCAGTCCAAATACTAACACAGATTAGTTTTCTCCAGTCCAACTACTAACACAGATTGGTTGTGTCCAGTCACACTAGTAACACAGATTATTTTTGTCCAGTCCAACTACTAACACAGATTGGTTGTGTCCAGTCCAACTAGTAACACGGTTTAGTCATGTCCAGTCTAACTATTAACAGATATTAGTTTTGACCAGTCCAACTAGTAACACGGTTTAGTCAGGTCCAGTCCAACTAGTAAGAGAGATGCCCTCATAAAGCAAAGAAACTAAAGTAGTCAGAGTTAAAGTCCATATTGTGATAGTTCCCCAAAGCTACCTAGTTTAAACTATATGTTTGAGAATAATATTCACAGTGATAATCATAGCATCAACAACAATATCAAACTGATAATCATAGCATCAACAACAATATCAAACTGATAATCATAGCATCAACAACAATATCAAACTGATAGTCACAGCATCAACAACAATATCAAACTGATAGTCACAGCATCAACGACAATATCAAGCTGATAATCATAGCATCAAACTGATAATCATAGCATCAACAACAATATCAAACTGATAGTCACAGCATCAACAACAATATCAAACTGATAGTCACAGCATCAACAACAATATCAAACTGATAATCACAGCATCAACAACAATATCAAACTGATAATCATAGCATCAACAACAATATCAAACTGATAATCACAGCATCAACAACAATATCAAACTGATAATCATAGCATCAACAACAATATCAAACTGATAATCACAGCATCAACAACAATATCAAACTGATAATCATAGCATCA